AGACCACCATCTCATAGTTTTTTCCATCTGGGCTGTCCTGGCCCTGGCTTCTTCCAATTCCCTCTGTCGATGAGACTGTAAAAAAAACATACAACTGATTAAGGGTTAAAAAACATTGGATATAGAACACAATTCAAATAAAAAGTACATACTATAAAGTAGCTGTGCTGGTAATAAGATAGTAAGATATTATCAATCTATTTATAAATATTATAAAAAATGTACATGTGTACGTTTTTTTTTTTAAATAAATACATATTTAATATATTTTAAATAAGCAAACAAAATCCGTAACTTTCAAAGTGCTACCGGAGCACCTTTATTTGTCATAAATATATAAAATTATGATCCAAATAATGAAAAAAAAAAATTAATTTATGATATTATTCAAATTTGATTTAATTTGTCTTTAGCGCTTTGGTATTTTCTATAAAATACCACTTTAAATTTTTAACCTAACCTCTTTTACATCCCATTTTAAGTCAATTGATATTTGCAAATTGTGGATTTGAAATTAATAAATAATATATACACATTATTAAAATAATGTATACATTTTTAATACATGTTTGAATTTTAAATTGGAATTTTTTGATAAATTTTTATATATTTATCGAAGTACATACATATATTTTTAAGCAATATATTACTGAAGCATCTATATTTGGTATAAATAAATTAAAATTGCAGTTAAATGATTCCAACATATAACAAAAACATTATACTATTCAAATTAGTTTGGTTCATCTTTCTATTATATATTCCATTGAAGGCTTTTTCTATTTTCCATCCTAACATTCTTTACTATCCATTTTGTTTCGAGAAATCTTTGGTTACAATTTCTTCAATAATTGTATTATAAATAAATAAAATTACAACACATCTGATCTCAAATTCCAGCATAAAGCACTAGAAATATTAATACAACTCAAATTTAAGTAATTTTTTAAATTAATACTTTTTATATTACATTACAATCTGACCTCTTTTACAAACCCATTTAAAAAATAAAAAACAAAAAAAAATAAAAAAATGAAAGTAAAATAAAAAATAAAAAAAATAAAAAAGTAAAAATGAAAGAAAAAAACAAAAAAAAATGAAAAAAATAAAAAATAAAAAAAAATAAAAAAGTAAAAAATGAAAAAAAAAACAAAAAACAAAAAAAAAAAATAAAAAATAAAACAATAAAAAAAATAAGAAAAAAAATAAAAAACAAAAATATAAAAAAAAAATGATTCGAGAAACCTCTTGTTAGAATCTGTTGCAATTGTGGGTTTGTAATTAATAAATAATATACATTATTCGCTTTTGATCTTCAAAACATGCATAAAATCTAAAAAACATCTTATTAGTTATTATGGAAATAATTAAGGAAGCAACCAAAAAGAGAGGCACCTGTAAAAATCCTTACCGATGCACTTAAATTTGTTAAAAATAAACAAAAATTAGAATAAATATATAAAATTCTTCCGCCTAAAACGATCCAAATTATATATAATTCCTTTACAAACTACTTGTTATATTAATATTAAGCTTATTTACCAAAATTTACTATTTTAAAATAATTTTTATTTAATAATTTTGTAACCTAACCTTCTTGACATCCCCATTTTGGGTTCGAGAAACCTTTTGTTAGAATTTCTTGAAATTGTGGATTTGTAATTAATAAAAAATATACTTCATTTCCACTTGATATTCAAAACATGCATTAAAATCTAGAAAACATCTTATTTAGTTATTAGTATAAATTTAAAAAAATATTTAAAGAAGTAACCAAAAAGAGGCACCTGTAAAAATCCTACCGATGCACTTAAATTTGTTAAAAATAAACAAAAATTATAATAAATATATAAAATTCCTTTGCCAAAACGATCCAAATTATTTGCAATATTAATACTAATCCAAATTAACACATTTTAATATAATTTTTTAATTATACCATTTTAATATAATTTTTATTTAATAATTTTGTAACCTAACCTCTTTGACATCCCCATTTTGGCTCAAGACACCTCTTGTTACAATTTGTGCAAATTGTCCATTTATTAATACAAAATAATGTGTACTAATTATATTATGCCTGCAAAATATGCATTAAAATTTGGAAAACAATCTTATTTAGTTATTAGTATAAATTTAAAAAAATATATAAAGAAGTAACCAAAAAGGAGCACCTGTCAAAATGTTAAAGATCCACCTATATTTGTTATAAATAAACAAAAATTATAGTCCGAATTATATAAAATTCCTTTACAAACTACTTGTAATATTAATACCAATAAAATTCAACACAATTAACCATTCTATTATAATTTTCTATTATTTTTTCAACCTAACCTCTTTTGCCTCCCATTCAGTGTCAGGAAATCTCTGAGCGCCGCCAGGAGGGCCCTCGTGGTCTCTTCCAGTTCGCCTGGAAGAGCTGGAACTGGCCGCACTTTGAGCCATATTAACTAATATTTAATAACTTAACTAATATTTAATAATTAATTTTTCACAATTATTTAATGTTTACATCGATTACATTACATTGCATTACTCAGAGTTTGTATGAAATGACGTCTGGCAAACGTCAAAACAACGCTGACCGCGAGACGCAAATAACTTCAGGTCAAATGCGCATCCGAAGACAAAAGCGCCATTTTTAAACAGGATTTAAAAAAAGATTTATTATAATAATGGAGAAATTTGGGTTTTTGTCAAATAACTCACAAATTTTATATGCGAGCACACTTTTTCGGTTAGACAGGGAGAAACTAGATAAAATTTACATTTCCTAGCATTTTATACACTCCGATATAAAAGTTTTGCATAAAACGACTTTGAATTCAATATTTCATTCTTAAGCAATAAATATAGGAAATTTGGGCCATTTTTGGTTTTTTTGTCAAATAACTCAAAAATTTCATATAGAACTACCCCTTTTCAGTTAGATAGGGTGAAACTATATAAAAGTTGCTAAATATCCATACAAACACGTGAATACAGTTCGATATAAAGTTTTGAATAAAATGACTTTGATTTGATAAATTGATTTATACATGATTATATACATACTAGCTGTCTCAGTTTGTATGGGAGTTGGATATATAAATGTATACATTAATTTGTACATGATTATATATACTAGCTGTCTCAGTTTGTATGGAAATTGGATATATAAATGTATATATTGATTTGTACATGATTATACATATACTAGCTGTCTCAGTTTGTATGGAAATTGGAAATATACATGTATATATGGATTTATACATGATTATATATATACGAGGTCTGTTCAAAAAGTACCCGGAATTTTCGTTTTTTCAAAAAAATATTTATTTATTCGTCTACATTAATGTGGTCCCCTTCAAAGTAGTCCCCCCAGATATAATACACTTATGCCAGCGTTTTTTTCAATTTTCGAAGCACCCTTGATATTCACTTTTTGATATGTCCTTGAGCACTCTCAGCGATTTTCTTCAATCGAGGAAAACCGCCGTCCTTTCATGGGTCTCTTCAACTTTGGGAATAGGAAAAGTCACACGGAGCCATATCTGGTGAATTTTTGCACATTGCAACACTTTATTTCATTTTTTACGCAAAATTTAATACAAATTCTTTGACTTTTCAATTCTTCCATTGTAAAAATCGCCGAGCTCAGAAAAACACGTCGAACCTTAGCGACTACCACAGACAAAGTAAACAGTGAATATAGCTGAAAATTTCATCATACTTTAGGGGCATGTATACCAACACAATAAAAAAAAAATTTGACAATCAGACACTCCAGACCCGCGAAATTTAATTAATAGTAATTCCGGGTACTTTTTGAACACACCTCGTATACATACTAGCTGTCTCGGTTTGTATGGGAATTGGATATATAAATGTATATATTGAATCATACATGATTATATATATACTAGCAGTCTCAGTTTGTATGGGAATTGGATATATAAATGTATATATTGATTTATACATGATTATATATATACTAGCTGTCTCGGTTTGTATGGGAATTGGATATATAAATGTGTATATTGATTTATACATGATTTATATATGACCTAGCTGTTTAGTTTGCATGAGAATTGTATATATAAATGTATATATTGATTTATACATGATTATATATATACTAGCTGTCTCAAATTGTATGGGAATTGTATATATAAATGTATATCGATTTATACATGATTATATATACATGCTAGCTGTCTTATATTATATGGGAATTGGATATATAAATGTATATATTAATTTATACACGATTGTATATATACTAGCTGTCTCGGTTTGTATAGGAATTGGATATATACATGTATACATCGATTTAAACATGATTTATATACATGCCAGCTGTCTTATATTATATGGTAATTGGATATATAAATGTATATATTGATATTTTTCCCAAGCCAGGACCATAATTATATTTATAATCGAGTATAAAACGATATATAAATGTATATATTATCCACGGATTTTTCAAACATATTTTACTTGACTTGCATATTTTTTTAATTGCATAAATCGATTTTTTTTATCACTATATATGACTTAGTCGCCTTAATTGGATTGTGAAATGAATATATAAATTTATATATTGCTTTTCCCATCATTATACCAAATTCGATGTATGGCATCTTGCCTTAAGGCAAATTGCTAGAACTTCCCACCGTAATAAAATATATTAAATGGAATTTTAAATGATTTCAAATGAATTATTATAAATTTAAGAGGTATACACACAAAAATATCTAAAAATTACAGTTTACAAAAAACATCATGCTTTTGACGATTACTATAACACTATGACTTACCTTCCATCTACTACCGAGAATCCGCAATCACAAGAGCCAAGATGCGACGACCAATGAGGAGACTCTAACCACTACACCAAGAACTGATACGACCAATGAGGTTCTGATAGACCTGACAGAAGTATTTCGAGCGCAGTATTTCAAAGCGTGCACATACTACTTATAATATATAAACAATAGTTAAAAACCATGCTAAAATATTTAAAATGGATCAAAATATCTATTACACCCATTTTACCATAAATTACATAAGTTTATAATTTATAATTTATAATCAAATTAAATTAAATTTATGATAATATTAATAATATTTAATAACTAAAACTGGAAGAAATTTGTATGTTCATTTCAAATTTATCGAGAAAATGAAATAAAATACTTAATAAATTTGTTTGGAAATTCGAACTCAAAACCTAAAGTAAGAACGATTGCCATTGCACCCTAGGCGATTTATCGCTTTCGCCCATCTCATCACCGTTGAATAATTGATTGAATTTGGTACATTTGTTAATAACTTCACATATCTTCCTCGCCCTTGAAATTGTCGAATAAAAAATTCCTATCGGATTCGAACCAGCATCCTTCAGATTAGAGTCTAGTTTAGCGCTCTAACCGATTCGGCCACGAGGACCAAGATTTTCGGGCGACTAATACTGGAAGGACATTCTTCGACAACCGACCATCATGAATCAAGTCAATTTCACAGGGGGATGATATGGAAATATTAAATGTTCACCCAGGGGGTTGAAAGTGGGTTCATTCGATTCCTCTGGTTCTTGCGAATTTCAAGCGGGGGGTTACAGGGGGGAAATTTTTGTCCGTTTTTCGCCTAGGAGACGAGAAAATCGACTTTTTGTAAATTTCACGTTTTTTCTATGGGAATTTTTTGATAACTTTATGCGTTTTCAAGGAGATTTTGTGCTGACCTTGTCGTGGTGAAGGTCAAGGTCAAGGACAAGATTAAGGTCAAGGTCAAGGACCACGCATATAAATAACCTCCATCAAATAACCCTGAAAACGCAAAAAGTTTTCAAAAAATTCCCATATAAAAAACGCGAAATTTACAAAAAGTCGATTTTCTGCTCTCCTGAGCGAAAAACGGACAAAATTTTCCCCCCTGTAACCCCCCGCTTGAAGTTCGCAAGGAACGACAGAATCGAATGAGCCCACTTTCAACCCCTAGGTAAATATTTAATTTTTCCATATCATCCCCCTGTGACCTTGACTCGAATCATGATGGTCGGTTCGTCGAAGAATGTCCTTCCGGTATAAGCCGTACGAAAATCTTGGTCGCCGTGGCCGAATCGGTTAGAGCGCTATACTAGGCTCTAGTTTGAAGGATGCTGGTTCGAATCCGAAGGATGCAGAAGGGGAGTTTTATTCGGCGAATAAAAGGAATAAAGAGGTGTGTGAATTTTTTTTAATCGGTAAAAAATTAACCTACCACTACCTCCGATAGTCTGCAATTAAAAAATCAAGATGAGACAACTAATGAGGTTCTGCACAAAGGTTCTTGAGGCATGGTTTCCAAAGAGAGACCTGACAGAAGTATAGCAATTTCAAAGCGTGCTATATGCATGCATGTACTACTTATAATATATAAATAATAGTTACAAATTATGCTAAAATATCCGAAAATATCTATAAAAGTTGTTATAAAAATCCATAAATAATAGTTCATATTATTAATAACATAATGCAAAAACTTAGAAATTATTTGGACTTATTATATTCAATTATATCATATATCACATCATCCCCTGTCCTTAACCACGTGATTGGGCTCCATATAAATGACCCCGACCATATCATTGAGGTCAGCACAAAATCTTCTTCAAAACGCAAAAAGTTTTCAAAAAATTCCCATAGAAAAATCGTGAAATTTACAAAAAGTCGATTTTCTCGTCTCCTGAGCGAAAAACGGACAAAATTTTCCCCCCTGTGACCCCCCGCCTGAAATTCGCAAGAGCACGAGGAATCGAATGAGCCCACTTTCAACCCCCTAGGACAAAATTTAATATTTCCATATCATCCCCCTGTGAAATTGACTTGATTCATGATGGTCGGTTGTCGAAGAATGTCCTTCCAGTATTAGTCGGCCGAAAATCTTGGTCGCCGTGGCCGAATCGGCTAGAGCGCTAAACTAGATTCTAATCAGAAGGATACTGGTTCGAATCCCATAGGGATTTTTATTTGACATTTTAATGGGCGAGGGAAATATGTGAAGTTATTGTTAACAAATGTACCAAATTCAATCAATTGTTTAACGGTGATGAGGTGGACAGATCGTTAAATAGCTTCGGTTGCAATGGCAATCGCCTTTGCTTTAGGTTTCGAGTTCAAATCTCCAAGCAAATTTATTAAGTATTTTATTTTATTTTGTATGGGAAATGGATATATAGATGTATATATTGCTAGCTGCCTTAATATATAAGGAAAATGTAAATATATATTTATATATTAATTTATACATGATTATTTGGGTACTAGCTGCCATAGTTTGTATGAAAATTGGATATATAAATATAATATTGATACTTCTCCTAAACCTAGACTACAAATATATATAATTACTTTATTATTATGAAGGAATCAAAAAATGTTTCCAATTTTCAAAACTCATGGGTACCCATCCATGGATTTATATATCAATTCTTCTTTCATTATATATGGATTACTGCTTTAGTTTATATGGGAATTGGATATATAAATTTATATACTGATATTTC